CAACCCAAAAGGGCCAGGGTCATGTGTATGTTTTCAAATGGAGTGTGGAGACAGCAAATTGGCTAGCTTTGAACTGAAGGTGAATCGGGAAGCACTTTGTGTGGATGTGAGTGGTGGTGTCACTTGTAGCCATTTTTATTGGCTGTTTCTGGGCGCTCATTGGCTGAGTGATGACTGGTCAGGAGTATAAATGCACATTATGCTCATTCGAGATTAAGGGGAGTAACAGAGAGAATTGTGGATTTGTTTTCCAAATGGAACTATTGGACTTGCATAAAGTTTTTTTTTCCTGTTTTTTTTTTTTTTTTTTTTTCCTGTGTGTGCTTCTGACCAATTTTCACACAAGTTGTGCAGCAGCTATTGCAGTTAAGCCACACTGATCTAGAATAACTGCTAGGGTAGGTCTAGACAAGCAATCAGCTATAACATTTTGATCTTTGTGGCCTATATCTAATATATATATCCTGTGAGAATTGCTAATTGCTACTCTTTATCTGATTTAGCAAGGTTTAGACTACGGAATTCATCACATTGTTTTTTTTTATTTTTTACATGATTCACATATTTTTATGATTTAGTAAATTATTATTTATGATTAAAAAATTGTTTTCATATTTATTTCTTCATAAATTGGTGAATGATGAACATGTATTGTATTAGTTGCTTTGCATTTTGAGAATTTTGTAAACATAAAATTATTCTTGTAAATAGACAATCTGTTAAATAAATAATGTTTAATATTTTTGTCATAAATGATTAAAAAATAAAGAAAATGTATAAATTCACTTTCATATGTTCGTGTTTTATTAAAATTTTAATAATCACTTTTTAAAACAATAAGCACCTCTGAGAACAGTACATAATAATAGTGGTGTCAAGGGAAAAACAGTTCTTTTGATACACCTTTTTATTGTCGGCATGAAGGTTAAACTTTACCAAGAAAGTTATCTTGGTGGCTGAAACTGAAGATGACTTGAATTTCTGGATCTTCCAAGTTTCTAAACCAAGGCTGACTTCAAAGAAATATTACATAACAAAAATGTAATGAAGAAATCACGTTTTGGTTCACATTGATATTTATTGAAATATCATAAAATTAAATAAGGAAAGAGAGTGTATTAATATAAAAATATATTTCCATAATTTTTTTTGATAAGGTAACATTTTCATAAATAATTTCTGTAATCATTTAAACAAGATCATCCAAAGAAAGAAAAATCTAAATTCTTGTTATGTTCAAAAAGTGAAAACCATGACAAAGAATGGTACTGAATGCATAACATTAAACAGAAGCATTAGAAACAATGCAAAAGACTCAAGGGAAAATATGCAGAGATAGAAAAAATAAGGATCATAACTGTTGCATGAAAGAATAAAAGAAAGAATAAAAGAAAGAATGAGATAAAAGACCTGTTCATTGACTCCTGTCAATGAACAGGTCTTTTATCTCATTCTTTTATCTCATGCATAAAATCAAAAGATGAAGCACTCATAATCTGTTATATTCCATGCTAATAGGAATATATACTTGACAAACACAGTGGATAAAATACGTAAAGGTTTATTGTAAAACCCGGTACAATAAGAAATAAGGTAACAGTTATGCACAAGGTTGATGCAAGTCAATCCAGTAGCGAATGCTGCCAATTGGAAAGCTGGTAGTTCTTGCATAAGTCTGAGTCATACTCAACTCCCTGCTAGACAATATTTACTACCCCCCCCACCAAGGGAAGATGTGGCACAAGGCTAAGTTTAACATGGGTAATCCAAGCTGTTTTCCGAGACGAGACTCTGCCCTTCAACATAGCTTTGTCTGGAGATCCTCTCTGCCTCTAGGCAGAGCGTTTGACCCGCACAGTTGGAAAAGATTCCAGCTAGACGGTATATAGCAACTGCCCCATGCAGCCACATGTAGCACAAGGCAGAATTTAATGTGGGGCTCAGCCAAAAAATCCCCGTAGACCCCGCATAAATGGGATCAGGTCTGTCTACCTCCCCGGACAAGACTCTGCCGAAGGCAGAGAGTTCAACCTGCACAGCTGGAAAAGATTTCAGCTAGACAGTATTTACTAGCCCCCCCCCATGAAGGTAGATGTGGCACAAAGCCTAGTTTAACGTGGAAAAACGCAATTGTTTTTGCACAAAATCAATTTGAAAACACGATAAAACACGATTCTGTCGCCAGAATGAAAGGGGGACAACCCATATCGAGTTATACTTATTATAAAAACCCAGGTTGTTTGTGTGTGTGTTCGTTTATACATGGGATCAGATTTCCTACATTTTTCAACTTCACTTTTTTTTGGCAGGTAGTGTTTCTTATTGTCTTGCACACTTTTTTCTTTATTTTTACATTCAGAATGCTTTAAAAATTCCATTTACAAGCCAATTGTTTATAATAAAATTCTATTCAATCGATAGACTCATAACGATTGAAAACAATGTTTTTGTTTGAGTTTGGGTTGACCAATTCGTAAAAAAAAACAAAAAAACAAAAAAAAAACTAATTAAGACATGCATGTCTGTCAACCTTAAACAATAATCTTTGTCAATTTTATTTTTCAGTCTTTATGATGGTCAATACTTGATCTATCTCTTACTGTTACATCCCCGGACAACGCCGAGCTCTACTGCTAGTATGGAATAAATATGTTCCAGACAAAAGAGAAACTACAAAAATATGGAAAGACCTAAAGATTGTAGGTAATATTAGCAATGAGCATGATGAACAGGAACAAAGCATCAGGACCTGACAGGATTGCAATTAAAATTCTATCAGCCACAGATGATCTGAGAATCAACAAGATTACAGAAATAATAAATGAAATATATGACACGTGATATGATAGTGCCAACCAACTGAAAGACCTTAGCACTGCCTAAGAAGCCAGTTGCAAATGAATGAGAGTTCCATTGAACAATCACAGCTTACTGTGTCACATGATTAAGCTTATGATTCAGATTCTGATGAATAGAATACATAGCAGAATTAGACCAAAAATATAACAAGAACTGTATGTATTGTTACACAAGAAATGCAATATTTATGATTAGAATGATATCAAAGAGAGCAATATAGGTTTGAATAGGAGTAGATAGCTTCAACTATTGCCTCGTTCCCACTCCTCCCCAGTTTTTTGAATAGGAGTAGAGGTTTATCCCTTGTTTCCTGTTTAGGATTAAGTTTCTAGTTCCTTCTAAAGTCTACTTCAACTCTATACGTCTAACGTCTCTGACTAATTATTCATTTATTTTCTTTTATCTTTTCTTTTCTCCAAATAGGAGTGAAATAGGTTCACCTGTCGCCCGTTTCACACTCCTTCCCAATTTTTGGAACAGAAGTAGAGGTTTATCCTTTGTTTTCTGGTTAGGATTGTGTTTCTGGTTCATTGCTAAGTCTACTTCAATTTTATACTTCTAACGTCTCCAGCTGAACTCTGAAATTTTATTCACTAATTAAATCTTGACTTTTTTAAATATAGAATTAACTGTTATCTTTCTTGTATAGACCCAAGAACTTCACTTCTTGTCCCTTTTTATGCTAACAACACAGTAACCCTCTACTTTGAGTGGCTTTGGCCCTTGTATTGGGTGAACATTAGTAAAAAAAAAAAAAAAAAAAAAAAAGAAGGAATATATAGCCATGTTTGATAGATGATAAAAAAGAATTTTCATAAAGTATAACACAAAGATCTATTTGAACTGCTAGGAAAACTTGATTTGTCTGGGAAAGAATAACCAACTAAATGACTGCATGTGAATAGAAAATGAACTGAAAAATAGACACAAATACACAAAAATAGAAAGTAACATAAGACAAGGATGTTTTTATTTATTTATTTATTTTTTTTTGCTGGATTTATTTGACCTTTATAACAAGGCAATCTTAAAACAAGTAAAAGTTCTACCAGAATTTATTATCAGTGCACACATTAAGATACATAAGATATGCAGATGACACTTTGTTGATGTCAGGCAGAGAAAAATGTAGGAACTCCTAAACAAGTTAGTAAAGGAAAGTAGGAAGAAAGGACTAAACATCAATTGTAAAAAGATAGAATGTATGTTTGTCAGCATGAGAAACAGTCCAGTATGCAAGCTATGAAGTGGAGATGCCAACAGATATTTAAATATTTAGGAAGTGTTTTAACATGTAACATTTTGTGACATTGAAATCTGAAAGAGCAGTGGCCTTCCAAAAGCTAAGCCAAAACAGTAATATTTCATTAGAAACAAAGGAATAAGTGCTGAACTGCTATCTAATATCAATCCTCCTGTATGGCAGCAAATGGTAGACAATTTCCTCACAGATGAAGAGAAGACTTAAGCCAACAGAGATTTGGTTCTGGGAATACCATGGACAAAGCATGGAAAACAAAAAGGATGCTTACACTTAGAACCAGAAAGAGAGAGTTGTAAGTCTTGAGATACATAATAACGAAAAAGGGACGTGGAGAATTTGACACTCACAGGTTATATTGAAGGCAAAAGAAAACTGAGTAATCTACCTAACAAGCTTGTATATATGAATGGCAGAACAGGGAATTAAAAGGATAATGAAAAAAAAAACATTACTAAGAGCTACAAAAGACAAAAAGTTGTAGAGAGCCATGATTCCCCACACCTGAATGGACAAGAAATATAAAAGAATTAATAAATGCCAAAAGTTTCCGTTGAATTTTCAGTAGATTTTTTAAAATACAATGTTTGTTAATTCGTTAAAAATCAGTTATAAAAATATATATTTTTGATAACAACAAAGATGAAGAAGAGATTAATTTGAAATGATCCAAGATTTTACTATTTATTATATAGATTAACCCATGCCGGTCTTATTGTTTTGGGGAGAGATTTTGCTTTGACACCGTCTTGTCAAGTGGAATCAAAAAGGAACAAGATAAATTTTTCAAATGGCGGTTTCGATGGAATCTGATATTTTGGATTCTCTGAATGATCTCGGATATCCTGAAGAAGTATATAAAGATGAAGAATTCAAGAAAATGCTGCAAGAAGGACCTTCGGTCGCATTTACCCAGGTATGTCGCTTTTAACACAGTTTTAAAACGCACCTCATGAATAATCTTCTATTCGTACTTTTAACGTTGCTATGATGAAATAAGGGAACATTACTGTTTATCATTCAAATTTCCTACCCGGGGACTATGAATATTAATATATTCCCACTATTTTATTTTCATTAAATGAATATTAATAGAACGATAATTAATTTGTTACTTCAAAATTGTTACACGTGTGACAAAGATCGCAAAGAAAGCTTCTTTGCTTTGAAAATTTTGTTACATTTTACGTCGACGATGTAACATAAAAATTAGTTTTGAATAGATGTGCTTCTTCGTAATAAGACATCGCTAGAATTAATGCTAAGACTCTGTTATTGAAATTCTATTAAATTCATATTTTATTTTTGTGTATTTGAAAATGATCCCGATTTGAAAGGTAATGTTTTAAATATGAGATGAGAATAATAACTCTTCTTTTTCTTTCCGTCGCCAGCTTCGATTAAAAGACTAATTTGCTGGTGTTTTTTAATTTCATGTTAATTTTTTTGTGGGACGAAAAAATGATTAAGATTACGATAAATGAAAGTATTTTTACATTTTTTTTAACTACTTTCAAAAATTGAAAGAAACAAATTTGGTTGTAAAAAAAAAAAAAAAAAAAAAAATAGATTTTCAAAATCAGCTTGGTTATTTTTTTTTAACTATATTACCTCATATTGCGAAATCGCTCAAGAAAAGCAAGCGCACTTAATTGTGATTGATGTGAAAAGACTGTGGTATATTGTTGTTGAATTGACATTAGGAAGAAAAAACCTGGTGAATATTTTTATGATATTGCTGTTTTTAAATTTTTTTTAAATCACATTTTCATAGTTTTGTAATCTCGTACTGTAAAAATGACTTTGAATTTATTTAGTTAAACTTCCAAATTATTTTTCGCTACCCCATAAGTGTGCGTATGACCAAAAAAAAAAAAAAAGAACATGTTTAAAAAAAAATCACGATTTTTAAGGAAAAGGATGCTTGGCTAAAAAAATGGTTATAGAAGGACGATTATTTACTTTTTTAGTATTTTATTTTATTTCTTTAACTTGAAATTAAAAAAAAACAGAATTACCGACAAAATTTAAAAAAAAAAGAAAGTGCAATTATAAAAAGTCAAACATTTGATTATTTTAAGTAAATTTGTAAGATGAGAAAATGTGATTAAAAATAAAAAGTATAACTTAGAGAACGGTCGATAAACTTGGGGAAATAATTCACTTAAAAAGTTTTGTTTCAAAACTATTCCAGCAACAAAAAAGTAAATCTGTTTAAAAATAAATCAAAATCGTAAGATTTTTTTATTTTTTAACAGATTTATTTACGAAAAAAAAAAAAATGAAAGGATTGTGGATTGTCTAATGATGAAAAAAATGTTGAAATTTAGAAAAGAAAACAAAGTAGAAAAATCATATTATTCAGAATTATTTTTTGTACGAATTAATTTTAAATTAATAAAAAGTAAAAACTAAAATGAATCCTACAGTGGGGAGGGGGATCTAACCATACGTTCTTTCTTTGTTATTTTATATCGCACCGACCAACCTTGTGTTTTGTAATTATTTTTAAGTTCCTTTTTTTTTTCACCTCTTCCTTCTTTGTTGATCTCCTCAATTAAATCATCAAGGTTGAAAAAAACTAAAAGTCAAAACTTTGGGCGAAACTCTGTTTCACTTTAAAAGAAAAGAAAATAATTTCACATCTCTTCCAGAAGATCAATTTATTTATTAAATAATTCATAATTGTATACTGTAAAAATCATTTTCTGTTACTTTTTTTTTTAATCATTTTTTTGTTACTTTTTTTTTTCTTTTCTAAGTATGCATCTGTGTCTCGTCATCAAGGGTTATAGTCATTCCACAAGAAGACGACCTTTTAAATGGGGAAACCCGGAAAATTAATTAAAACTTCAAATCCCTTCTTTCAGAAATTACATATTGATGACACTAAAAAAAAAAGGCTTGGACTATCAAAGGTCAGGATGGATTGTGTTTAGATAACAATGTTTTTTTGTAAAACATTGGTAAATGAAAGAAAGAAAAATATAAAAAATATTAGAAATAAAATAGAAAACACTGTCATCCTTCCACTTGCTGGTTTAATGTTGACGGATAAAAAAAAAAAAGTGATCTCTTTTAGGAGGAGAGGGTGGGAAAGTTATCCATTTCATCATGAAGCTAGACTGGTTTCGGTGGGAACATTTCGAAATCAATAATATATATTTTGTTTTGTTTTTGAACTTTGAACCCTGTAGGTTCCAACCAAGCTATCACCTTCTATTTGTGGTGGACAACCACAAAGTAGCTTCTTTTTTTTTTTTTACCACAGTAATAATCGTTTTATTCAGTACTAGCAGTAGAGCCCAGCGTTGCCCGGGGATGTAACAGTAAGAGATAGATCAAGTATCGACCATCATAAAGACTGAAAAATAAAATTGACAAAGATTATTGTTTAAGGTTGACGGACACCCATGTCTTAATTAGTTGTTTTTTTTGTTTGTTTTTTTTACGAATTGGTCAAACCCAAACTCAAACAAAAACATTGTTTTCAATCGTTATGGAGTCTACCGATTGAATAGAATTTTATTATAAACAATTGTCTTGTAAATTGAATTTTTGAAGCATTCTGAATGTAAAAATAAAGAAAAAAGTGTGCAAGACAATAAGAAACACTATCTGCCAAAAAAAAAAGTGAAGTTTTGTTGAAATCGGTTGAAAAATGTAGGAAATCCGATCCCATATATAAACGAACACACACACACACAACCTAGGTTTTATAATAAGTATAACTCGATATGAGTTGTCCCCCTTTCATTCTCGTGATGACACTTAATCGTGTTTTCAAATTGATTTCGTGCAAAAACAATTGTGTTTTTCCAATTTTTGGCGCTGTTAGAACCAACGCAAGGTAATTTTACGTAGTCCTGTGAAGTTTTGTTGAAATCGGTTGAAAAATGTAGGAAATCCGATCCAATATATAAACATACACGCGCACACACACACACACACACACACAATCTGTGTTTTATAATAAGTAAGATGACAGATTTGAATTTACCTAGATTATGATGATCGGCAATTAAACATCCTTTTCTTTAAACTTCTTTAGGTGGGAGGATATGAAAATGATACAAACTGTCAGATTGAAAATTAATCCTCATTCTCTGAAATGTAATCATCTGAAATGAGTTTTTGTTATCAAATTATTTTCACTCAGTTACTTTAACATACAGAAAAGTAAAATTTGATTTCAGTTGGTTAATGTTGTTAACTTTATGCTTATATTGTCCATAATTATTTTGCATGCAACTCTTTTTTTATATGGTCAGGATTTAGTAAACAAATCCATCAAAGCAAATTTGACTGGGGTGGGGAGTCGAAATGAAAACAGTAATCGCAGCAATTGAACCCAGATTTAGGAAAGGTTTTGGCATTTCATAACAATGCCTACCAATTTAACATTGTCTACCATACTTCTATTTCAATTTAGTCTTTTTTAGAAACTAAACATTTCTGTTAATAAGGGAAAAAACTTTACTGATTAAGTAGCCAAAAATTTGCTTTTGAAAGTGAGGAAGAAAAAAAATTGTTGATGGCCAGGAATTAAAACTGGCCTTATGACAGAATAGAGAAAAAGGTAATTAAAAACAATTCTCTAATATTAACACTAAAGCAGGTAAGCTATTAAAATTAATGCCTTTATAATTGTCTTGTTTGCAAAATAATTTTCACATCATTCATTATAAAATTAGGTTGGTTGTTATACTGAAAATTTTAAGATGGAAAAAGGCAATTTATTGATTATTTGAAGCAAGTTAATATATTGTTTGGGATCACTTGAACATTCTCTCCACCAGATTGGTTTAGAAATGAAGAATCTTAAAGTGAACCCTTTTTATCATAAGAGATCACTTTGCTTGGAGGATGTTTAAAATCTGTTTATATTAGAATGTGTAGAAAATTGTATTATTCAATGGGACTAAAAAATTCCAACAGGTAAACAGCAATTTTTTTTTTAATTGTTGTCCTCTACCTACTACACATGGAAGCTGATGTTATGCTTGGAAGGTAGCCGTTATCTTGAAAGGTGTTTAATGTTCATAATCTTGTGTATGTGGATCATCACTTATGAGTTTGGCCAATGTTGCAATCAGTCTCTTTCTTGATACTGTATAGATGTGCTGGGAATTGAGGTTTAGGCATTGTCCATGAAGACCAGTTGCACTTCTTTCATCCTAATGACTACTGTCCACAGTTAATTCAGGCAGAGGCCCACCATATTCGAACGTCATTTTCTGATGCTGACGCAGACTATCCTGACAAAGTGTAATGTCAACGTAAATCTTTCAAAACACCTAGACAAGTGGTAACATACAACTGACCATTAAGGCAAAGGGTTAGATTTACTACTACATAGCCCCTTGAGTTAGTTTAGTTTTCTGGACAGGTGGACTTCCAAGTTCAATTCTCACATGACTCTTTCACTGATATAACTATCAGTGCTACAAGAATTGAGAAGAGCACTTAGGTTTTTTTTTTTTTTTTTTTGCTAACCACTACATGCATTGCAGCAGGATAGAGCTCCCATAGTATAGTAGCAAGCAATGTCAGTATATGAGGACAGCCACTGCTGCTGACGAAGATTTGGACTGACATGCATGAGCATAATGTCCTTCCTTTGAGCATTTTTTTACAAGTAGCTCTACAAGAAGGACAGCGGTCCCATGAATGGTAGGCAAATCCACAACAAAACCATTTACGTTTGGCTTGATAAGTTGTGGCTACTGCTGATTTGACTGGAAATTCATCACATACCTTTGAGGGGTGGGGATCAGAGTCAACTATTGCTGCCATTTGTGCCTCTGGGTCAGTATATAAGTCATTATTTCTGCTAAGTCTTTTAAGTACAATTTTTTTATCCATCTGTTAGCAGAATGTAATTTTCTTTATTAAAAGATCTTTGAAAAATAAAAT